AAGGTAGTTTGCGTCGGCGCTGCGGAGGCTTCTCATCTGACAAGAAAAAGACTATACATAGCGGTGTTTCTCTTGCAGCCAAATCCACGATTGATAGCGCCGTCTTGTTTCCAGACAATTTTATCAGTTATAGCAATGCTTCGCTTTGTAGGTCATCCGTTATTGATAATGATGTCTTGTTCACAGACAACTTAACTATACCCACACTTGATAGCCGAGTCTCGTTTGCAAGCACATCCACCATTGAAAACAGCGTCTCGTTCGCGGACAAATCCTGAGTAATAAGTAGTAGTCTGTCCTCCGAGATAGTGGCTGCAAGTAGCAGCGAGCACGCAGTAGTAGTATGTAGTAGTGTCAGCCAGTAAGTGGCAGTGGGTAGAGCGCTCGCCGGAACATCTTGGAGGACATCGATCAAAAGAGGGGGGCCCGTCAATTACCGTCGCCATTTTAGAGTGCCTAAACATGCCCTCTTGGGCCCCTCTTGGGGCGACCTTGGAGCGCTTTTGGGGCCGTCTTGGGGCTCTCTTAGGCCCCTCTTGGGGCCCTCCTGGGCTCTCTTGGAGCCATCCTGAGGCCTCGGGAGGCCATCAGAAGCGAAAAGACGAGAAAGCAAACGACACTGATGAGCTTCAGGTTTTGGAAGGATTCCGGCCCCTTCGAGACCTCTTTGGGGAGCTCTTTGGCCACTCGGAGTCGTCGTGGAGCGGTCTCGGGGCCTCTCGGAGCATCTTGGGAGCCACCGCGAGGCATCCTGGGATATTTTGAGCGATCTTGGAGCTCATCCTGGGCTTTCCGAGGCGCTCTTGGAGCAATCTTGGGCCATCTTGGACGCTCCAAACCCTCCCGGGCCCCCCCGCCCAGGTCCAGGGGGCGGGTAGGGGGAGGGGTCAAGACTCCCCCCCCGCCCGCAAGCCGTCTCGCTCACTCCCACCCGCCCCCCCAACACATACGTAGCACCCGAGCCGCAGCATATTCAGCAGTCGTCTTTGGATGGGCAGCTACTGGGGGCGAATCCGCCGCCGCCGCCGCCGCCGCCGCCTCCGCCGCCGCCGCCGCCGCCCGCCGCCGCCGCCGCGCCGCCGCCGCCGCCGCCGCCGCCGCCGCCGCCGCCGTGTCCGCCGCCGCCACCGCGCCGCCCGCCGCTGCCGCCGCCGCCGCCGCCCGCGCTGCCGAATCGCCGCCGCCGCAGCCGCTGCCGCAGCAGCTGCCGCCACCTCCGCCGCCGCCGCCGCCGCCGCCGCCGCCGCCGTCGCCGCCGCAGCCGCCGCCGCAGCCGCCGCCGCAGCCGCCGCCCCCGCCGCAGCCGCCGCCGCCGCCAAGTGCAATCTGTATTTTTTTGAGAGGGATGGTGGGGGAAGGCCGCAGCGGGCTCGGGGTAGGGGGAGGGGTCAACCCTCCCCGAAGGGGATGAAGGGCAGATGGAAGACAGGGCACGCCAAACCACCTACGCCCTAAAGGGCTGGTGGGATATAGGGAGACTTATGACTGGGGGTAGGAATGGGGATAGGAGAAAGGAAAGTGAGATCGGATAGGTGCAGGGATAAACGGGCGAGGGTAGGGGTCTGGATAGAGGCAAGAGGATTGGGATAGAGATGGGGGTGGGAAGAGGGATCGGGAGAAAACAGAGTGATGTTTACAGGGAGAGGGGCAGGGGGACAGGGATGGGATACGGATGGGGGCACGGATAGTGACAGGGATATGGATAGACAATGGGACGCATTGGCAAAAACCAAAAAAATGAGACAACGTCGCCCGCCCGATTCTGGATCGGGCAGCCCACCGATTCGTATGTCCATACATCCGCATTGAATGTTTGCAGACAGGCCATATAAGGAAGGCCCTGGGCCCCCTCCGTAATTTCCCATGCTGGTGCAGTTGTTCCACGCCGCCAGATCTCACAGAGCCGATTCAAGGCCTCAGGTGTTTGGGGCATTCGGGAGATTTGTTGGATGCCCCGTGAACTTCTAACTGTGCCAGTCGGCACGTAGCCCGAGGAGCGTTCGGCACCGAGGATTCAACGTTCATGGGGGCGAAAGGGTCGACGCCTAGTAGCTGACGTCACGCGACGATATACGCGACGAGTTGACGCACTCGTCGCACGGCAGACGTGCGGCGAACGCGCCTAGTTTGTCCCCCTTTCTTCCCCCTCTTTCTTTATCCTCACATTTTCCCTCTCAAGCCGCTGGTGCAACCCCGCAGGCCTCGAGCCAGTCGCGGCCGAGCTCGGGCGGGAGGCAGCGCGAAGCCAAGCTTTGCCGCGAGCTGCTCCTCCGCAGCCCTGGAGCTCCCCGCTCTCTTGTCGAACTCCCCGAGCGCCTTCCGCAGGGGCGCTTGCGGCCCGCGCCCCGTGAACTCTCGCGCGGGCGGCCGCGGGACCAGCATGTCCCACGTTTGCGTGGCGCGGGAGACCATGACGTAGAAGTGAAACCACCATTGCTCCTCCGACATGCCCGTGCGGTCAGCGCCCTCATCCTTGGCGCAGTCGACAGCGACGTCTCTTGCGCAGCGCCTGACCCTGCAACAGCGCGAAGGTCTAGTAGGATGCGCGCGCCAGTGGGAGCCCCGAGCGGCGCACGACATGCGTCCCCGAGCTCTGCCACGTGAGCTCCTGTCCGTTGGGCCTGAATATGAGCAAGATCTTCGCCCGGGCGTCGATTTCGCCGTCGTCGTCAGCGCCTTCGGCGCCCTGTAGTAGCAGTTCGGCAACCTCCCGGTAGATCGGAGACCCCATGAAGCCGCGCACCTGCATCCAAATTCCTGGCGGCATGAAGCGGGGGCGAAGGAGCTGGCCCGACACGCGCTCTTCGCGCTGCTTTTCGTCTCCTGCAAAGCCGGAAGGACACGACAGTAGCCCGCTGCTCCTACACAAGCCCAAATTTATCAAGCCCGGCCGCGAACCGAGCCTCGACGCCGACGCGTGCCAGTAAGACGCTGTGGATATCCCGCGTCTCGTGCGTGTTCGGGACGTTCAGAAGACGTTGGCCCGCGTCGAAGATTCAGGGGATCTGAGAGAAGACCTCGATGGCATGCTAAATCTCCACCGTCGGCGGCTCCGCGTACTTGTGCGCCCCGTCGTCCAAGAGCTCGCTCACGTCCGTGAGCAGGCCGATGTTGCCAGCGGGCTTCAGCTGCAGAATGTGACCGGGCCGCAGCACGATGGGACCGCGCCCGAAGTGGTGGCGCGGCCGCGTGTAACTGGACTCCTGCATCCGCGGCAGGCGCGAACGCCGCGAAGGCCCAACGCGTTGTACAGCGCGGCCGCCACCATGCTCACGTCCTCGATGGCATCGCGGCGTGTTTCCACGACCACGCCAACTTTCGGCCTCATCTTCGCATTGATGTATTCCTGCGCTCGCAAGGCACAGGCAGCGTGCAGCGTTCTGGCCTTCACCGTCTCCGTGGACACGTTTCTTTGCTTGCGCGTTCGAGAAGGCCACGACCACCATGTCCAGCGCCAACGACGGCCACAAATACTCCACCACTGGGAAGAGAATCTTCTGCACCACGTGCGCCTTTCCCAAGCCGCCCTGGCCCTGCAGGAGCACGTGCGTGATTTCCCCCTCGCTCCAGGGTTTCTTCTGCACGTCGTCTCCCCATGTTTCGTCGCAGGCTCTGGCGAACATGGCGACGAAGAGCGTTTGATCCCGCGTGGGTCTCCGGTCCACCGGCAAGCCGCTTCGGACATGCACGGAAACGCGAGGAGTTCCTTGGCGAAGTTGGTAAGATGCTAGCGGCGTGAAGTTCAGCACGTCCGCCACGTCCTTTTCCCAGTCGATGCCCCACGTCGGTTCGGGCTCACAGACGAGACTCCCGCGCAAGACTTCCTCCATACTCAACCTGAAAGAGGCCAGAAGTGACGACATATACAGGGTTCGGATGACCCGTTCGGATTAATAACGTGAGCTGCGGGGCCATATGGAAGTGGTTCCCGCCTGAAATTTCCTCGCAGGTCACTCACAGACGAGGCTCCCGCGCGAGACTTCCTCCATACGCAAGCTTGAAGAAGCCAAAAGTGACGACAGTCGCAAGGTTCCGATGACCTGTTCGGGTTAATCTCGTGCGCTGCGGGCAGTATACGGGAGGGGGGTCCGGCCTGAGATTCACTCGCAGTTCACTCACAGACGGGGTTCCTGCTCGAGACTCCTTTAATGATGAGCACATGCGTGTGCGATGACAACGAGGATGATGATGATAATGATGATGATGATGATGATGCTGAGGGTGATGGGGTGATGCTGATGGTGATGGCGATGGCGGTGATGATGATGATGATGACGATGCTGATGTTGATGACGGTGGTGATGGTGATGGTGATGGTGTTGACGATAACGGTGATGATGACGCCGACATGTGTCTGTTCCACGGGCACACATATGGGTGAGTGTTTTTGTGAGTGTATGCGTGCGATGATGGTGGATGATGATGGTGATGATGATGATAATGGTGATGATGATGATGATGATGATAATGATGATGATGATGATGATGATGATGATGATGATGGTCGTGGTGATGATGGTGATGATGGTGATGGTGATGATGCGATCATGATGACGATGACGATGTGGGTGTGTTCTTGTTCCTGTGCGGGGGCGTCCGGGGAAAACTAGAACCCCAGTTAGGGGGTGGGGGGAAACATGTGTAAGTACTCGGGACAGCCTTCTGAGAAGGCGGATTCCCGCTTCGAGCGGTGGCCGAATTGCCGCTTTGGGCAGGCACTTGGGGATCCAGGCTTGTCCTTCCTTCGCCCGCCTCTCCCATGTAGGCAGTGTCACTCCCCCTACTCATCGCCATCCTCCTCCTCGATTCCTCCACATCATCGTCCACCTCCTCCCCACCTCCTCCTCCTCCTCCTCCTCCTCCTCCTCCTCCTCCTCTTCCTCCTCATCATCATCCTCCTTCTCCCCCTCCTCCCCCCCGCTTCCTCCCTCAAACCCCCTCCTCACCCCTCCACCCTCGTCCCTCATCCTCCCCCTCCCCTTCCGCGTAGCTTGGCCGAGGAGGAGCAAGAGGGCGTCGTTCGCCGAGGAGGTGGGGCCCGCGGACGGTGCGAAGTCGGAGCCCGTCCAGCCAGGGCCTGCCGACTGCGCGAAGTCGGAGCCCGTCAGGAGGAACGCCGGATTCTCCTCCTCCTCCTCCTCCTCTTCCTCTTCCTCTTCCTCCCCCTCCTCCTCCTCCTCCTCCTATTCCTCCTCCTCCTTCAAGCAGTGGCGAAGCGTACTGGCTCGCCCATAGGCCCACCAGAGAATGTTCTAAGAACCTTTGACGGTCTGCACGAACTGTTCTTAGAACATGTCTGGCTGAGACTGTTTTTTTTAATACATCGTTATGGTATATGAACATTGATTGTGTTGGTGATGGCAGTTTTAGGTTCTAACTAAGAACATGTCGTGGTAGGCCTATAGGAATGCCAGAACGGTCGGTCCCTGCTTGACTCCTCCTCCTCCTCTTCCTCTTCCTCCTCCTCCTTGCCCCGAGGGTGGGGGCCTGGCACCAGTTTTCACGGTGTGAGCGCCACACATTCCTCGGGGCACACCGTCAGAGTCGACTGCGTGCGGCGACTGGGGGTAGGTAGACCGGCTCGCGCCTTTTAGCACCAGCCGCGTGGCATTTTGCCCATGGCAGCAGCGTTAGCCACGCTCCGTGACCTGGAGATGGGTACCGGGCACGGGGGATTGCGCATTTGGTTGAGAGGCGGGCCCGTAAGTCCCATGGTGACCGTGCGCCCGCTCACCCTGGGGAACAAGCCCAGTTGCGCACGCCAGCTGATTAGGCAGGGGTTGATAATCGGGAAGTGCCTCGCAGTGACGAGGTGAACCGATTGTCCCCCTACGCACCACGCCCTCTCGGCTGGAAGCAAGTCTTTGGGCGACGAGGTAGCTGCCTATCCCCTGCTCGTCGGTGCGCGCGCCTTCGGGCCCGCTCCCTCCCGGAAGGGTGTGGCCGGGGGGGGGGCCGCTTGCCTGCCAGTGCGGCCCGCCGGCGTGCGGCGTGCACCGTGAGTTCCTTGAACCCATGACTCCAGGACTCCTCCTCTCCTCTTCCTCCTCCTCCTCCTCCTCCTCCTCTTCCTCTTCCTCTTCCTGGGTCGTCCTCATCTCCCCTTCTGCTGCTGCTGCTTCTCCGCGTTCTCCCGCTGCTTCCCAAACTCCTCCACCTCCTGCTCCTCCTCCTCCTCCTGCTCGTCCTCCTCCTCAGCATGATCATCACCATCGTCCTAGTCGTCCTCGTCGTGATCATCACCACCATCATCGTCTCGTCGTCGCCGTCATCGTCGTCATCAGCACCATCAGCATCATCGCCACCATCAGCATCAGCATCGTCATAAACAGCTTCATTTTTATCATCAGCATAATGCGCACCATCGTCATCCGCATCCTTATCACCATAATCATCATCATCGTCATCGTTATCGTCAGCATCATCGTCATCACAATCATCATCAGCAGCATCGCCATCAGCATCATCATCACCATCATTATCATCAGCATCACCATCACCATCACCATCGCCATCATCGTCACCATCACCACCAACAACATCCTGATCAGCGTCATCCTTATCATAAGCATCAGCACCATCACCACCTTCACCATCATCATACCATCATTAACACTGTCATCACCACCATCATCAACATTAGCATCCTCATATACACCCTGCCCCTTCTCGTACTCCTCCTCCTCCGAATCAGCCCGCTCCTCCTCCTCCTCCTCCTCCTCCTCCTCCTCCTCCTCTTCCTTCTCCCCCCTTCATTCCCATGCGCTTTGGCGCCACCGTTCGCTCTGTCAACCCTCGGCGGGTGCCGTCTTAGCACCCGCCGCCGCAAACGACGTGACCATCGCGGCGTGTTCCTGCCATCGCGGCCTCACGGGCCAGTTATCAGGAACAGGGCCATCAAAGAAGGATCTGGGACGCAAAGTACCCGAGTCGTCCCGAACGGCCGCATGAGGCCCAAGTTAAGCCCGAAAATCACACATGTTCCCCAAACATATCGCTCGAACAAGAGAATACGAGGATTTGCTTGCCAGGTTCGGTATTTGTGGGGGCCCTCACCAGGCTCCAGGACCGTCAAAAACAAATCAGAATGAAATGCCCGGCCTCGGTTGAAGAATCTAGTTTCCAGTGGGGTCGCACATAAAAATTAGACATCGGATATTTGGATCCTTCTCCCCCTCCTTCGAATAGGAGCATGCGCGCGCCCGCTGCCATCATGGTTCCAGTGCGCGCGCGCCATACCATGCATTAGGTGATGGGAAAGTACCAATCTCTCTGCGATCCTCCACGTTGCCATTGCCGCCGTGTCTATCACCACTATCAACACCCGCAATTCCACTTGGCAGCGGAGCTGGTGCAAGCCAGCTCTAGCACCGATCCCTAGAATTGCGCAGAATGCGATGGGCACGTACGCTCGGATTTCCCAAAGTCTACTCTAATTATCTTCACCAGCACCACCCTCCACTCCTCGAGCAGATGGTGCTTACAGCTGTTAAGCAAGCTTACGGGCAATTTGCCCTGAGAGCTAACAGGCACGATGGGGTTAACGCCAGGTCGTGCAAGTCCCTGCGAGCGCACGGCTGCGTGGGCAACATAAACAGTTGATGGCCATACGCAGGCAATTGGCCCATGTGGGCGCCATGACGCCTAAGTTTTGTTCACAACCAGCATCCAGTGCGTTGGGCCGCATGGCTGGGCCAGCACTTGGGTTCGGCATGTCCGCAGTAATGCTAGCTTTCCTCTTGGTGAGCACGCTGCGCGCGCCGAGCGACGCACAGCTTGTTAATGTACCTGTTTCACAGCCCCTGGCCCCAGCCAGCGGCCTCAGCACTTCCACGTGTATCCACAGCGTCACGCTGGCGTCCGTCCCTGTGCAGGCCCGAATCCCAAGGTGCCTGCACAGCACCATTCGTGGTGGAGTGTCTTCGAGGAGGCACGACATCTTGGCGCCATGGGTAACACCACATTACCAACCCTATGTCGCCCATGCATGTTGGTGTTCCGGCTGTGGACCGCAGCTGGCCAGAGACACGCATTAGGCGAGTACTGCAGCCACTACGACGGCCAAGCCACACCTGTTGTTCAGTGGATGGTTCGTCTCCTCTTCACCCTCGACCAGTTGGGCAATTTCGAGCTGCTGTACTTATTATCCTGGTTCTCTTCGAGGCAGACTCCGGCGGCGACTTAATCGTTGTCTCCACCGCCCGCTTTCCAGGATGGGGCGTTCGGACATGCCCCTGGCATCTACAGGTGTCGTGCCGCGTACTGCCTGGGTGCCATGTTAACGATTTTTCCCCAAGGAACAGGGACATGGCCCCGCGTACGTGCCACGCTTCGGATTCCCCTGGCCACGACCACTTGTCAGCGCTACGTCAGGCACGCGGCCCTTTCACTCATTCAACAAGGTAGCATGTTGACTGCGATTGGCAGGCGATTGGCACATAGCTGCGCCACCGCTTGACCACTAGATTTGTTGCCCCATGCTCTCGAGCATGCCGTGCGCCCTGGCGTTCGGACGCACCATGCACGGCTTCAGGCACGCTGACACGTTTGTCGTGTTCTTGGCTGTAAGACTACGTTAGGACGCCCATGCGCGGGGCCACGCACGCCGGGTTTCTGCCCGGCGGTGCAAGCACACGCGTAGCGCCGCGCCCGCGCGCACCTGGGCATCTTGTAGCGCACGCCGGACAGATCGGCATGCTCAACAGTGCGCCGGAGCGTGCGCGGAAGCACAGGCATGCCACGCTCGTGGGCACTGTTGCACGCACAGGCTTGCGCACGCCGGGGCATTGTTGCACCCGGCTGTGCGCCTTCGCACGCACAGGCTGGCGCAATTCAAGCACACCTGCGCATGGCCAAGCTCCGCTCCAAGTGCCTGCTGGCACCGACGTTGGCCCTTCCCAGCAACTCACAGGCCACAGTCATCTCTGTCACATGGGATGCAGCTCGCGGAGAAACCTTATGCGGGCTGGATCAGCCAGCATGCGATTGCAGCTCGTGTGCAATCACATTGTACGTCCTTTCTCTACACTTCTAACCCTCATTCTTGACGCTTCACGTATCCTCACCAGCCCATCCATAAACCATCACCAGATGAGTTGGTTAATCAGGGACGCCTGGAAGCACGCGGTCGCACAGCCGTTTTGCAAGCGTCCAAACTGGGTGGGCAGTACCCTGGATCCAGAAAAGAAGGACCACAAAGAGCTTCGCGCAGACATCAATGTAAAATGCGCCATGGTGCTCCCTGTGGGAAGCGTGTCTGGCGCAGGTTGTTGCATCTACGATCCGACGCCAGTGTTGCGCAGAGTAGAGCTGTATTTCGATTGACATGTTTGATCTTAGCTCTTGCACTGGTTTTTAGATTAAGCTCGCGTGCGTTTTGAGATTGCTCTGGTGTTGGTGCTGCTGCTGATACTGCTTCCGATGCTCGTGCCAATGATGCTGTTGCTGCTGTTGCTGGTGCTGCTGCTGGTGCTGCTGCTGGCGCTGCTGCTTGTGGTGCCCCTGCCGGTGGCGGTGCTGCTTCTGGGGCCATCTTGGGGGTAGGTGGAGAAAACGGAGGAGGAGGATGGAAAAATCGCCAGAGGATGAAGAGGAGCAAGGAGGCGGCAAGAAAGAAGCAAGGAAGGAACGGACGATGACAAGGAGGACGAGAAGTCGGGCTTTGGGGATATGTCTTGGTGAAGGGTTTTTCGAAGACTCGTAATGCCATTTGGGCGCCATTTTGGGGCCCTCTTGGGGCACTCTTGGGATCCTTTTGGGGCCTTCTTGGGGCCCTCTTGGGGCTCCATTGGGGGGTCTTGGAGCCCCCATTGAGGCTCTTTGGGGAGGTCTGGGAAGCCTCTTGGAGCAGTCTTGGGCCCTACTATTCAAAAAGAGGGGGGTCTTCATTCCCGTCGCCCCATCAAAGGCTCAAACATGCTGTCTTGGGGCCCTCTTGGCCCGCTCTTGGAGCGCTCTTGGGCGCTCTTGGGGCCGTCTTGGGAGCCTCTTGGGCCCCCCATTGGGGCTATCTTAGGCCGCCATAGGGCCGGCCTCAAGAGTCCATCAGAGGCGAAAAGGCGAGAAGGCAACAAAAACGTGATCTCTAGGTTTTTGCAGGATGTTGGCCTGTTTGGGGGGTCCTTGGAGGGCTCGGAGGGCACTTGAAACCGTCTTGGGGCCGTCCTGAAACCTCTTGGATGCGCATCGGAAGCTATATTGAGCCATCTTGAGGTATCTTAGGCGATCTTGGATCCCATCTTCGGCTATCTAAAGCCCTCTTGGAGCTATCTTTAGAGCTATCTTGGGCCAAGAAAGACGCTCTGACACATCGCGTGGGAGCCCGTCCAGTGGAGGTAAACCTCCCGAGCAGGGAAAGAAAGGAGGGTGGAAAAGGAAACGCGCTAGACCACCTGCGCCCATAGGGCTGGTGCGATTATCTACATACATCAGCCACATCACCGCCTCGGTGACTAGGAACAGTGAGGCCCATGCCAGCCGATGCGGGAAGGGTGACCTCACTGCGCACCGCTGATCAGCTGCGCATTCATCAGCCAATACGATCTGCCTTCAGAATGCAATCGCTTGACCGACCCTCGTCCCCATCCACATCCCTATCCAGGCCCCATCATCTCAGCACCCCAGTTGGGGATATATGATCTAGGGTTGCCCCCCCTTCCCCCCCCCCGAGAACATATGGGATCGCCCCCCCCGCTGGATGGGTACGCCTGTGAGCCTCGCGAAGGCCTCGCAAATAGGATCGCTCCCCCTCCCGCCCCTGTGGTCGTGGCCCTGTGAGCGTGGCGTGGTGGAGGGTGGCTCGTCGTCGTCGTCGTCGTCGTCGTCGTCGCCGTCGTCGTCGTCGTCGTCGTCGTCGTCGTCGTCGTCGTCGTCGCCCGTCGGCGTCGTCGTCGTCGCCCGTTGGCGTCGACGTCGGCGGCGTTAGCGTCGGCGTCGGCGTCGTGGGTGTCGGCCTCGGCCTCGGCCTCGTTGTCGTGGTCGTTGGCGTCGTCGTCGTTGTCGTTGTCGGCGTCGGCGTCGGCGTCGACGCCGTCGTTGTCGTCCCCCTCATCCCATCGGCGGGATGCCTGTGGAACCCTGGGGCCCATCCATTCTGGGGGGGGGATGCCTGTGAACCCTCGACCCGGGATCATATACCGCCGGGAACCCGAAGGAAGCAGCCCAGATCCCCATCTACAGGCTGTAGGGGGTGAATCGGCCAGTGGGGCCCAGGCCACGCCGTAGGGGATAGGGGTCGGATAAACGAGGCTCACTCTTCCTGCGAGCCTGTTTTTCATTGCGGGTCGTTTTATTTTCTCGAGGGTCCCAAAGCTGCCCCCCGGGAGGCCGAAATTGAGGAGAGCGCTGGCTTGTAACAGAACGCTGATGGCGGGACGGAGACTCCCGGATAGGAGAAGTGGCGAGCAGGGGCAACAAAAATCAGGCGATGCAGGGCAGAGAACAGAACGGGGAGAGCAGAAGCGTTTGTTTCGGGGGGGGCAAAGGGGAGGAATCGATACATATAATGTATATCCGTAAGGGCTTCGCCCCCTGCCGCCGGCCCCCTCTCTATCAGAATGGGATATAACAGAGTCGCGTCGGTGCGTTTCGGCGCTGCCTTGGCGCATCTGGGAACAGCATGCGGGGGCGGATAGGAGTCATCAGTGCATATTGAAACGTTGGCGTTATCCTCCTAGTGGACTTCGGCCCATCCCAGCACCGTGCCCGGGTTGTGGGTCTGAGGCCTCTTGTATATGTGTTGGGGTGTCGTGGGGAGCCTCTCGGGGGCCTCTTGGAGGCGGTTTGGGCGCCTCTTGGGGGCCTCTTGGGGCCTCGTGGGGTATCTTTTGAGCTTCTTGGAGGCCTCTTGGGCGCGTCTTGGGCGCCTCTTGGGGCCTCTTGTAGGAGATCGTGGCCTCGGGGGCGCGAATGTGGTGCGATTTACTGCGGATCGTGGCTTCGGGGGCGCGAATGTGGTGTAAGTTGCATGGGATCGTGGGCTTGGGGGTGCGAATGTGGTGTAGTTTACGGGAGATCGTTGCCTCGGGGCGCGAACGTGGCGTAATTGATTGGAGATCGTGGCCCCAGAGGCGAGAATGTAGTGTAATTTACAGGAGATCGTGGCTTCGGGAACGCGAATACCGCGTAATTTACGAAGGATAGTGGCCTCGGGGGCGCGAATGCAATGTAATTTACTAGGGATTATTGCGTCGGCGGCAGCGCAAATTTCATATATTTTCACGTGCCCCACAGCCCCCCAGAAATTCAGACAATGCGATTCGGGCATGGTAACCGGGTCCTTTTCGGCCCCCCCCTCGCGCGGACTTCAACAATTTAGAGTAGGAAGCAGAAAGCAGCACTGTAACACTGGAAACTGGAACTGGAGCAGGGAGCAGGACACCTCCGCCACGCAGCCTGATGGCCCCGCAAGGGGGGCGGCGGACACACACACACACACACACACTTGTTGGTGGTCGCGGCCTCGCGAGCGGTGACGAGGCAAAGTAGTCGGAGCGGTGGGAACGGACGCTCGCTTCCAGGCCCTCAGACAGGATCGCTTTGGATCTCCGCACACGCACACACGCACACACACACACAGACACACTCACACAGCAAAAAGCTAACAGGCAGAACTACGTCGTAGGTCTGGCTTTTCGTGCTGCCGAGGATGGCGGCGCGCTTGACGCCCGTTGGTTCGCCGGGCGGGCAGCGCCGCATGTGCAACAAGCAGCTGCTGAGGAGTCAGCCCGCATCTGAAATCTCAAGAGATCTCCCCAGACCTCCAACGCAGTGACACAAACAGTACGTTGCTGGCCTTATGGAGCCGTCGCCAGGCCCCGGGACCGGCAAAAAGCGATTCAGGATGAAGATCCGGCCCTTGGGAAGAGAAGGGTCAGTAGTTCTGGGGGCCCCGTGTTGAATGACAAAAAACGTCGGATCTCTGGGTCCAGAGGCCCCCAGACGTCCTGGAGGTCGTTGCCTCGAGGACGTCCGCGGAGGCATATGGAGGTCTCCCCCGAAGGCGTCGCCGGAGGTCGCACCCAGGAGAGCTCAGGACGTCCCCAGGGGCAGGTTCTTGCGCCTTCGTCGCCATCTTCGGGCCTCCCGAGGCTGGCACAGGCCTCTGGAGCGCTCTAGAGACATCCGCTCAGGAGGCTTTCTGGGAGGCTTGCGGGTCAAGGTCTTGGGAATGGGCAAAGGCATCTAAAGATCCGGATGCCTCGATCTTCGGTCTTCGATCCGCCCTGACGTCTGACGTCGCGGAGAATTGCAACAGCGTCGGAAATCACGATCCGAACCTTCGGCCCACCTCTTGCTGCCGCATTTCTCGAGCCCCATCGGCCCGTGAGGGCTCTTGGGCGGGAGACGCAGCCAAGGCGCCCCCGTGAGACCAATGCGGCGCTCGGAGCTCATGGCCGGTCCTCCGCAGAGGACGAGTTCCTCGCCGAGCGGGTTCCGCGCGTACTCCTCGCGGACGAGCTTCCGCGGCGGTGCCGCCACGGCGCAGCCCAAACTCCCACAGCAGCGGCCGCCCTGGCGCCGCCGCCGAGGCCTCCTTGGCTCATGATGTTCCAACCTACTTTCGCCGTGACCACCAGAGAGAATTTCGAGCACGCAGAAGGTACCGAAACTTGAGTGTGCTTACGTGTCGGGCCCTGGGAGGCGACACTCGTTCGACACTGTTTCGACACTCTTTGCTGGGTGCTCGAAATTATTTTGGGGATGTGGCCCTTAAGTACGATGGGAGCAACATAACCCTGGGCGCGAGAGAGGGGGAGCGCCAGCAACGCTCGGAACCCGCCCCGCCGCCCCCAGACGTCTCCAGACCTCCGGCGCCGCTGGAGAAGATGAAATCGTACCCTGCTGGCAGAGGGCCCCGAGCAGCATACAGTGGGGGCCCATGCCAAGAAACGCCCTGCTTGCCTCCGGGGTGCCCTGGGCTTCTTGGGTTTCGATGGCGTTGCCTCGGAGAGCGCGACGCTCCAGCCACCAAAAACAGATGGGCGTCCTGGGGTTTCAGGGTTGGGTTTCCTGTGGAAGGTTTCTTGTGGACTGGCCCCCATTGTGATTACGTGACAAAAAGAGCATCGTGTTTGCATTGTACATACGGGAGACGATACCAGAGGCCGCGGGCCACCGATTCCAGGTCCAGATTTGCTCCCACCTGGCCTTAGGATTAAGTCGGGCACGTCCCTCTACAGGAGGAAAGTTCAAGAATTGTTCAAACAAATAGTCTGGGGACGACTTTTTCCTATTTTCATGTTTGACTCTGTTTAAACATGTTTGAGTGGTTGTGTGACTATCTTCAACCTTTCATCCAAAAATCCACCTGTAGGAGGACATGCCCGACCTAACCTTAGAAATCAGCAATACATGGAACCCGCACAGGCAAGCTGTTCAGGGAACGAAGAACATGAGAATTGCCGGGGGTCCGCGCGGAGTTCTTGGGTCGGCCCCAGAGTCCCCCTGGAGGCGACTCCAGCGACCCCTAGGGCGCGCTTCGCGAGGGTGTGCAGCGCCGACCCAAGAAACCCAAGCGTTGGCCCAAGAAATCTGCCCACAGTTTATGTTCACGTCGTCTTTTGTTGTTCCAGTTAGGGCGGAGTTGTTTTGCCACTTTCCCTAAGCAGTTTGTTTGTAGGGATATACTTATTTAGTTTTAGAACAGTGTGTGTGTGAGAATATATATATATATACACACATCGAAGACGCGTACGGCGAATCATCGCCGCCCTCTGCATTTCAGGATACGCCTATGCGGCCAAACGTTTGGGCAATGTTTGGCCAAGGTATTGGACCATGTGTTCCCCCAGCTGTTGTGGAAACTCTTTGGGGAACACGTGGGGGAGGAAGAGGAGGTTGAGGAAGGAGAAAGGAGGAGGAGGAAGAGGAGGAGGAGGAGCAGGAGGAGAAGAAGAGGATGAGGAGATCTCTTGGGAGCCGCTTGGGTCATTTGGGGGGCCTCCTGGAAGCTTCCTGGGAGCCGTTTGGAGGCCTATTAGGAGCCTCCTCGGGCCCCTTGGGGGCCTTTGGGGTCCTCTTGGGGGCCTCTTTGGCTGTCTTCGGGCGTTCCTGGCTCGTCTGACGCCGTCGGAGGCCGTCTTGGGGACCTCTCCGGGCCGTCTTTAGGCCTTCTTGGGATGCTTCAGGGCTGTTTCGGAAATCCCCTAGGGCGTCTGGGGGCTCTTGGGCCTTCTCAGACCGTCGGAAGGCCGAAAAGAAGCAAACGCCAAAATCCTCCAAGAACCTAAGAAAATTCCATGATTCATGATGTTGGCCTCTTCGGGCCCTCCTGGAGGGGAGGACGTCTTGGATGCCTCTTGAGCCGTCTTGGAGGCCACTTCGGCGCGTCTTGGGCCCTCTTGGTCCGTTGTGGAGGCTTCTTGGGCGGACTTGGAGGCATCTTCGACCCTCTGTGGCCGTCTTGGAGGCCATCTTGGGCGAACTTGAAGGCCATCCCGGGCCATCTGAGCCGTCTTGGAGGCCATCTTGGGCCATCTTCGAGCGGGAAAGGCATTGACAGCGCGAGTTTGGGGTGCCTTCCGGGTGGCCGGCGGGACGGGCCGAAGCCCCAGGGGGAGTTCTTTCTGGAAAAGAACCACAACCAAACCAGTAGGATTTAGCACGCCGGGCACCTCTGTGGCAAGCCAACGGGGGGAGGAGGCAGGGGCCGCTCGCCCTTATCGAGACGGACGACCCTGGGTTGTGGGTCATAGGCCTCTTGGATATTCGCTGGGATGTCGTGGGAGGCCTCTCGGCCTCTTGGAAGCTTTTTTGACGCCTCTGGGGGGCCGCTGTGGGGTGTCCTGGGCCATCTTTGGGCGGAAGCTCGAATTGTTCCCTCTTGGGCGCCACTTGGGGCCGTCCTGGGGCTCTCTTGGGCAGTCTTTGGCTCTTTTGGGGCCTGTTGGGCCGGCTTGGGGCGATCTTTTGGTCTTTTTGGGCCGTCTTGAAAGCCGTGAGACCGACAAATCGCAGATGCTAAAAATCCATGTGTTGCCTCTTGGGCGTCTCTTGGGCTCTTGGGGCGTTTCGGGCGCCTCTTCAGCCGTCTTAAATTAATCTTCGACGTCTCGGACTGTTCCTTCGACGATTCGGTGCCCTCTTGGATCGTCTTGGGGGCCCCTTGGGGCGCTCTTGGCCTATCCTGGGGCCCTTCAGGGTCCGAAAAAAGTCGCGCGGGAAGACGCGGCGGGGCCTGGGGGGCAAGCGACAAGCCCTGGAAACATACATGTTGGGTACACATACATTCATTCATTCATTCATTCAAATGTATGTGTGTATGTATGTATGGATGTGCATGTGCATGTGCATATGTGCGTGTATGTAAATGTATAATTGTGTGTGTGTGTGCCAGAATGTGTGCTCGTAAATACATGCATGTGTAAATGCAGATGTGTATGTATATGTGTATGTATAAGTCTGCGTATATGTCTATGGTTATGTGCATGTATATGGTTCTGCGCGTGACGAAATATACATACATATATACATATACATAGGCATGTGCATATACATATGTGTACGCGCATGTGTATATGTAAGTGTGCATGTGTATGTGTATGTGTATGTGTATGTATGTGTGAGTAACTACATGTATACAAGACTGCAGTCGCGATTCGCGCCATATAACCTGGTCCTTCACGCCTAACATGCAGGCAGCATGAGAGAGAGGTAGATCAATAAACATTGCGATCTCTCTTGGTTGCAGTTTTCACCATCACCGTTATCATACTGCTGCGTATTATCCTTCTCTCAGGTGTTCTCTTCCTCCTCTTCGTTTTCGCGTTAATTTTCCCGCGAACTCTTCCCCGTCCTCCTCAGATTTGTTTGCGGAAGCTCCTCCGAGGCGAGCTTCTAGAGGACCTCGCGAAAGCTTTTTAGGGGCTCCTTAGGCCCGTTTGAAGACGCTCCTGGCGCCAGTGAGCGGCCATTGGGGGGTTCCTCGGGCGACAATGCCGCGAACCGTGGTCTCGGGTCATGGTTCGAATGCTTCCGGAGGGCGTCTTGGGGCAGTTTGGGGCCGTCACGGGGCCCTCCGTGGGCAAATTCTAGGCCCTCTTGGGCCGCCTTGGGGCTCTCTTGGAGCGTCAGGAAGCTTTTAGTTGGTTGTCTTGGGGCCGTTTTCGGTGCCCCCCTGGCGTTCTCAGACGCCCGTGACCGGAGAGCCCCAACTCCTATAAGAACCAGCGGAACTC